CCCTCACACCTCCAAGGCACCACTTGTGCCCTGGCTCTCTCTGGCTCTCTTGCCCATTGCAAACCTGGAGTGGGGCTGAGCTCTGCTCTTCCCTTGGCTCCATTTCCCATGGAATTCTTGCATCCATCCAGAGCTGCCACTTCTCAGTTCTCCTGCCTGCAAGCACAGGACAGACACAAGAGTTCTTTTCAGGCATTCTTGGCCTGGGAGCACAGCAATGAAGCAAGTCTAGGAAGGCAAAAAGTGTGCTTGTCATTGATATATGTTACACTTTAGAACATGCCCAAGATAGTACACACCTCTTGTCTTGTTGCTTCAGATTCTCATTCTTCATGTTCTCAACCTTCAGGAAACAGGACCTACTGGGCCTGTACCCCTGCTGCTACATTCCATAACTCTGTCACTTGCCTTTGCCATACTACAGAGGATTTTTCAAGTTAAACTGAAGAACCTATCAGCCTGCTCCTGGCTACGTGTACACATTGTGGTAATGGTGAGCATCAGCTCTGAAACTGATTCAGACAAACAAAAATTAAAATAAGATCCTATTTCCAGTTCTAACCTGTGTGTCATGTGTTCTTTAATGTGTTTTAGGATCAGAAACTCCCTGGAACTTCACACAAATAACAATAATAACAATAATAGTCTCACCATTATTTGACTCTTGGTGAGTGCAGTGAATAGAATAGAACAGAGCAGTCAGGCCCTGTTAAACCCAGAGCTCTGCATGGCAAGGTCTGACCCAGGTCTGAGGGCTCCACCCCAGAGCAGCTCTGCAGTGCAGGTCCCAGGCCCACCCAGGAGACAGGGGCAGAGATGGGCACACCCACAGCAGGGCTCAGGCAGGGACAGAGGTCCCAGGCCGGGCTGGGCCATGTCCCCTGGGCCCTTGGCAGGAGGTGGTGGGGCTGGGGGTCCCAGGGCAGGTCAGTCCCAGCCACTGAGACCTGTGAGCACCACCAGGACCCCGTCAGGACGGAATTTCAGTGCTCCCGTGTTCTTCTTCAGACACTGGTGTTGGACACTTTGGAGACAGAATATTGGGCCAGATGGACTTTCCCTGTGAGGGAGTGCTGCTGTCCTCAGGCTCTTGTGCTTTAGCATGTTCTTCCATAGAAGACAGACCAGACATTTCTAAAAATTAGTACAAGGAGCAAAAAAGAATATTCATGGGGAAATGAACAGGTGTTGCTCACCTCCACACGGTTTGCAACCATTTAGATGAGAAGCACATCCTGCACCAGACTGAAGGTTTGATCTCTGAGCCTCGCTGCTGTCAGTGATGTGGTGGTTTGCCATCCTATGAAAACCTGTCTCAGTTGAACACTGATGAGTTTTAAAAAAACACATTACACTTGCCTTTGGCAAATTTGTGCAGATGGTCACTTTATCTTGAGATGATCCAAAGCCCTGACCCCTCTCAGAAGATACACACCTCCTTCCCACAAGGTGACAGAGCCAGGACCTAGGCTGGGAGATGGTTATGGGTATTTAGTGCCTTCTGCTAGTCCAGAGCTGGGAAGAAATGTCATCAGGGGAAATTTCTCCATATGTACTGGTCTTCAATTTCTTGATATGGTGACCTTGCAAAAGCTTCTCAGAGAGGACCAGTATTGAGAAAATAAAACACAGAGAAAAGACCCTTTTGTTTCAGTAGCCATCAGATGTGGAAGCCCTGGAGTCACAGAGGTTCAGCCAGGGACCTACAATGGTAAAGCCAAAAAGCACATAAAGCCACAAAGGCAGAAATAGGCATGACTTGGTTCCCCTTTCTCTGGGAAACACAGTCTATAAGGAATTGTTTCTGGCCCAGAAGAGAGAGCTAGTGCTGGCACTGATGATGGGCTCCCCCTGGTGCCTCATCCCCACGGTGAATAATGCCCTTAGAGACCCAAGCATATGCACGGAAGACTGCCCTGGTGCCAAGTGGCAGAACTTGCTGGGGGGGCCCTGGGGAGCTGCCACAGAGTTCTTTCTAAACCCTGCACAGCACCATCCCTGGTCATCCCTTACAATTGAGCTGGACTGATGCAGAACAGTGTTGAGAGTTGGGCAGGGTAGACTGGTACAGCCACTTTTGGAGCCCACCTAGGAAGTCTGGAAAGCTTCTTCCCCCGAGATGTGGGCCACAAAGGTCACTTCGTGGAGCATGAGCAGCAGTACCTGGCCAAAATGGCCCAAAGAAGCCCTGAAAACAGGCCATTGCTCAGTGCTGCAGAAGAAGGTAAAAAACCACCTGAGGACACTTGATAATCCAGCATGGGGGAAAAAAAAGAAGCCATTCTCTCTCAAACTGCAGGGCATGAGAGGCCATCTTCATGGGGCATGAGCAGCAGGCAGCAACCCAGCCAAAAGAGACTGAGGAAGCCCTAAGCAGTGGTCATGCTCAGGCCTAAGCATGCTCATGCACTGCTTACCTCCACAGCAGAGGAAGGTAAAATAACCTCAGGTACCATTATCAATCTGTCCCAGGAGAAAATTCCTTCCTGACCTCAATGCTGGTGACCAGCTATTCTCTGAGCACTTGAATGAGACCTTTCATCTCCCATTCACCTAGGGTGGCAAACCACTCAGGAGATGTCCAAGACAGATTCTGACTCAACATCTCAGAGGCTTGTGAGAGTAGCCACATGCCTTGGAGGTAACATTCCTTTCTGTGTCTGGCAGGACACCAGTGGGTGCTCCAAAGCACTGGAATCCCTTGCGACATCTCTGCACCCTATATCTTACAGCTGCTGCCCCATCTCTGCAGGGCATGGGAACAGAGAGCTCTGCAGTGGTCCTCCTGAAGGGATCCTCTTGGTCTTGCCAGTGCTCTCCAGGAGATAAGGGCATGAGATCCCTGGGCAGCTCCTCATATTCTAGATCTTTGCATCGCCAGCATCCCTGCTCAGCCATCTCCCCTTCCCTTCCCTTCCCTTCCCTTCCCTTCCCTTCCCTTCCCTTCCCTTCCCTTCCCTTCCCTTCCCTTCCCTTCCCTTCCTTCCCTTCCCTTCCCTTCCCTTCCCTTCCCTTCCCTTCCCTTCCCTTCCCTTCCCTTCCCTTCCCTTCCCTTCCCTTCCCTTCCCTTCCCTTCCCTTCCCTTCCCTTCCCGCCTCTAGCTCCGGTGTCCACGCTCCTTTTCTGTGCCTCCCTGGCAGCCTTCCGAGGAGCGAGGGTGCCGTGCCTGACGTCGAGAAAGCAGAGCAGAAGGTGGCAGGAGGTGGGCAGGGAGGAGAACTGGGTGCAGGCGGAGGCCATAGTTCTGATAAACCAGCTGTCCCTGCTGCCCGCTCGCCCGCAGCTGCAGCGGGATTTGTCGCAGGAGAAGATGCCGCGGATATGGTCTGGCGGCTCCAGAGGCCCATGGCCGTCCCCCAACGCCCAAAAGCAGGCAGTTGCCATGCACAGGGGGATGTGAGGGGAGAGGGAAAAGACACCAGGAGAAGAGGGACAAAGAAACCCTCAGAGACTGTGTTAAACAAACAAACAAACAACTAACTATTTATTTCCTTCTTCTACGATCAAGGGATCTTGGCTTGCGCCGCCGCCGGCGGGACGGCCTCTTGGGGAGCTGGGGAGGGTCCTGAGGGCCAGAGGCCCTCCTCTTTGCTGGGCGCCGGGGCCCCGCGGGCGAGCCGTCCCTGTCGGGGCCAGGAGCGGAGGGGCTGCAGGCCCTGGCAGAGGGGCCGGGCACTGCTGCTGCCGCGCTGCCGGGCTCCTCCGGGGGCTGCTCCCGCTCCGCAGGGACGGGCGCGGAGGGAGAGCGCCCGGGGGCCCCGCGGAGCTCGGCTGCCGACGTTCCGACGCCCGCCTCCGCCTTGGAGACTGCGGAGCTGCTGGAGGAGGCCGGGCTGGGAGTGGGAGTCCCCTGGGGGGATGCAGAGGGCTCAGGGATGGCTCTGGGACCTTCCTCCTCCTCCTGCTCCTCCTCCTCCTCCTCCTCCTCAGCCTGGGGGTTGAGGAGGTTCATCTGCCGCAGGACCTCATCACTGCACCTGTCAGCGGCAGCGTTGATGAGCCGCTGCACAAATGCCGCCGTCCGCCCCTGCAGCAGAGGGTTCAGCTCCCGGACCAAGGCCTCCTCACTCAGCCCGTAGCGGCACAAACTGGCTACAACGATACTCTGTGCCAGAGCCACCTCCCACCAGCGGGTGCTGAGCAGCTCTGCTAGCTCCTGGTTCAGCCAGGGCAGCAGGGGCTCGAGGATTTCTGAGCGGTCCTGGAAAAAATTTGCCCAGAGCTGAGGTGGGAAGCCAGCTACGTAAGCCCTGGGCATTGGCTCCGCAGCCTCCTGCTCATCCTCCTGGTGAGCAGCCGGTGACTCTGAGGGCCTTGGAAAAACTATCTCAAGAAAGTCTTCGTCGGACCGAACAGAGTAAATGATGCTGCCGATAGCCTGTCTGCACAGCGGGCACGATGGTTGTCTCTTGGCCCAACGCACAATGCAGCCCAGGCAGAACAGGTGGACGCAGGGTGTTACAGAAGCGATTTCAGCTGGAATGTCACGGCAGATGGGGCAGTTCCACTCTGTGGCCATGCTTGCGTGTTGTAGCAGAGCTGGGGACAGCAGCTGCTCCTTCTTTGTTGGCGTGACACTCTGAAAAATGGTCACTTGCAGTCCCAGGGAAATGGGCAGGTAGAAGAAATGCCCAAGCCCCTCAAGAAGGACACACTCACAGCTCCCCAGACACCATCACCCACCCCAGGGCCACCCTATGGAAGCACATTTCCTGCACCACTCACCTGTGCTGCTGCAAGCACCAGCCACAGTACTTAGCTTCCTGAACCAGATAGGGCTAAGGAAACAGTCAAAGTCTTGTGCATGAGAACTGAGAGTTGCTGACAGCAGCTCCCAATGGCCTCACAGGCTTCCAGTCCTCCCAGGCACGCTTGCCAGGAGTCCAGACACGAGTGAGTCTGAAGCAGACACTGCCCGTGCCCAAACATAAGCAGTGAGGGATGTGAGGTCACAGTGCATTGCTACCTTAGGTTGCCAACCATGGAGTGTGTGGACTGCTGATGTCATGGTCCGCTCTTCTGTACTGGCAACCTTGACTGCCTTCCAAATCTGCCCTAGCATGTCTTTCTCCCCTGCAGGTACATGGCATCAGGAGAAAAAATGGGGTATGTGGGGCATGCTGTACCATCATTTATTTGTGCCTCTGACTTTTACAACTGTTTCAAGTCATTAGTTCAAGCACTTCTCCTTTAGAAGCATGTTACCTGCTAGTTTTGCGTTTTAGTGACGGGAGGGTGCTATGTACATCAGGCACATGGGCTGGCCTATTGAAATCTGGTGAGGTGACAGCCCATATTCTTTATTCTCGATGCTGCTTGCCTGCACCACTCAGAGAGGTAAGCACATCCTTATATGTCATGCCAATCTCTGCACAAACTTGCCAGGTTGTTTTTAAATTCAGCTTTTTTTCTTCTCTACAGCCCCATGGGATTGCGGTTGAGAGGCACAATGGTGTGGTCATTAGCTCAGTGACCATTAAAACTCTCTGTTGCTCTCATCCCATTCAAAAATAAAGTTGAAAATGGATAGATAGCTGAAAAGTAAGCAACAAGCACAATTTTTGTGCAAACCAGTCAGAAATGTGGAGAAAAACTATACTTCACTGAGTTTTAATCTCTCTCCTTTGTGGTAGGGCTTGCCACAGACTGGGCCACCCAAGCAAGGGCAGGTCTGCCTGTTCTTGCTGTGCTTCCCAAGCTGCTTTGCCTGCAGATTTCAGAGAGCTGTAAATCACTCCAGCCAGGCTTGCAGCTGGACATTTTCTTTCTCCTTAGGATCTTTTACTAAAACTACGGGAAGTGATCAAGTGAGTTATAGCTCGAAACCAGCCTGGTAGAGAAGGGAATTTTTAGAGGAGTTTTCCTGCCTCATCTTCTCAGAAATATCTTTGAGTGAAAAAGCCCTAAGCACATCATAGGATCATCCCTACCTTCTTGAACCTTCAAAATACATAACCTCAACCAGTGCCAACTGAGCAGAAGTTTAGTTCACGTTCAGTGTGAAGTAAAACGTCTAAAAGCCAAGTTCATGCTGCTTTGATGAATGAGCCCAATATCCAGGGTTCTCGGTCGGAGGAAGATGGATGTGTGTCGATCTGAGCTTTTTCTTGGCTCTTTCCTTGCACTGACCCCCTTCAGTGCTGAGGGCAGCACCAAGCTCTCACCTGGCCCCTTCCTGTGCACAGGCTGTTGTCATTTTTAAGGGCAGGATCTCTTAAAGATCCCTTGAAGAGTTTTGGTTTATTATGAGAGGGAAAGAGTAAAAAAATCAGTGATCCATCTCTTTGGACCAGGGACTTACCTGAGCTTCCTTGGAGACTCTATCTGTTGTGCTATTGGCACTTGGCCTGGCTGACCCTGGGCTGTCCTGTCCAGCGGTCTCTCATTAACGAGCAGGATGGGATGTGGTTCTAGTCTAAGGAGATTTGTGTTTCTGCTGGGTCCATTAATTCCAGAGTCCATTTTCAGGATGGCAAATCAGTAGCACTGGGGTCAAGAAGGAATCTTCCCCCAGGGCAGACTGGCACTGGTTCCTAGGGAGTTTTGCTTTCCTCTGCAGCACTGAGCATGACCACTGTTCAGGGCTCCTTCAGTCCCTTTTGGCTGGGTTGCTGCCTGCTGCTCATGCCCCATGAAGATGGTCTGTCATACCCTGCAGCTGTGGGCAAGAAGCTTTCCAGACTCCCAGGGTGGGTCCCAAGGGTGGCCTGGGGGTTGCTTCTTGTCCTCCTGTAGCACTGGGAACAGCCCCTGTCAGGGCTCCTCTGGGCTCCTGTGACTCCATTCTTGCCTGCTGCCCTCACACCTCCAAGGCACCACTTGTGCCCTGGCTCTCTCTGGCTCTCTTGCCCATTGCAAACCTGGAGTGGGGCTGAGCTCTGCTCTTCCCTTGGCTCCATTTCCCATGGGATTCTTGCATCCATCCAGAGCTGTCATTCTTCAGTTCTCCTGCATGCAACACAAGCACGGGCCATGCATCCCTGGCCAGGAAGCACAGCAACAAGGGAAATCTTGGATGGCAAAAATTGTGCTTGTCATCAATATGCGTTATAATTTGTAAAATATCCCACAGTATCACATATGCTTTCTTTTTGTGTGAGGTTGGTACAGTCAGTCTTTGTGTTCTCATGCCTCAGGAAACAAGAGCTGCTGGGCCTGTATTCCTGCTACTATATTCTGTAGCTCTGTCACTTTCCTTTTCCAGACTACAAAGGATGGGTTGTAAAGCTAAACTGAAGAACACATCAGCCTGATCCTGGCTACACATGCACATTGTGTTAATGGTTGTGAGCATCAATTCCAAAACAGATGAAGAAAAATAAAAATTAAAATAATATCCTGTTTCCAGTTATAACCTGTGTATTATGTGTCCTTGAATGTGTCTTAGGAGATGAAAAGCCCTTGACATTTCTGGAAAATAATGATCATTGTTACTTGACTCATGATGAGCACAGGAAATAGAACAGACCAGTTAAGCCACATTAAACGCAGAGTTTTGCATAACAAGCTACAACCCAAGTCTGAGGGCTCCACCCCAGAGCAGCTCTGCAGTGCAGGTCCCAGGCCCACCCAGGAGACAGGGGCAGAGATGGGCACACCTATAGCAGGGCTCAGGCAGGGACTGAAGGTCCCAGGCTGAGCTGGGACACATCCCCTGGGCCCTTGGCAGGAGGTGGTGGGGCTGGGGGTCCCAGGGCAGGTCAGTCCCAGCCACTGAGACCTGTGAGCACCACCAGGACCCCGTCAGGACCGAACTTCAGTGCTCCCGTGTTCTTCTTCAGACACTGGTGTTGGACACTTTGGAGACAGAATATTGGGCCAGATGGACTTTCCCTGTGAGGGAGTGCTGCTGTCCTCAGGCTCTTGTGCTTTAGCATGTTCTTCCATAGAAGACAGACCAGACATTTCTAAAAATTAGTACAAGGAGCAAAAAAGAATATTCATGGGGAAATGAACAGGTGTTGCTCACCTCCACACGGTTTGCAACCATTTAGATGAGAAGCACATCCTGCACCAGACTGAAGGTTTGATCTCTGAGCCTCGCTGCTGTCAGTGATGTGGTGGTTTGCCATCCTATGAAAACCTGTCTCAGTTGAACACTGATGAGTTTTAAAAAAACACATTACACTTGCCTTTGGCAAATTTGTGCAGATGGTCACTTTATCTTGAGATGATCCAAAGCCCTGACCCCTCTCAGAAGATACACACCTCCTTCCCACAAGGTGACAGAGCCAGGACCTAGGCTGGGAGATGGTTATGGGTATTTAGTGCCTTCTGCTAGTCCAGAGCTGGGAAGAAATGTCATCAGGGGAAATTTCTCCATATGTACTGGTCTTCAATTTCTTGATATGGTGACCTTGCAAAAGCTTCTCAGAGAGGACCAGTATTGAGAAAATAAAACACAGAGAAAAGACCCTTTTGTTTCAGTAGCCATCAGATGTGGAAGCCCTGGAGTCACAGAGGTTCAGCCAGGGACCTACAATGGTAAAGCCAAAAAGCACATAAAGCCACAAAGGCAGAAATAGGCATGACTTGGTTCCCCTTTCTCTGGGAAACACAGTCTATAAGGAATTGTTTCTGGCCCAGAAGAGAGAGCTAGTGCTGGCACTGATGATGGGCTCCCCCTGGTGCCTCATCCCCACGGTGAATAATGCCCTTGGAGACCCAAGCATATGCACGGAAGACTGCCCTGGTGCCAAGTGGCAGAACTTGCTGGGGGGGCCCTGGGGAGCTGCCACAGAGTTCTTTCTAAACCCTGCACAGCACCATCCCTGGTCATCCCTTACAATTGAGCTGGACTGATGCAGAACAGTGTTGAGAGTTGGGCAGGGTAGACTGGTACAGCCACTTTTGGAGCCCACCTAGGAAGTCTGGAAAGCTTCTTCCCCCGAGATGTGGGCCACAAAGGTCACTTCGTGGAGCATGAGCAGCAGTACCTGGCCAAAATGGCCCAAAGAAGCCCTGAAAACAGGCCATTGCTCAGTGCTGCAGAAGAAGGTAAAAAACCACCTGAGGACACTTGATAATCCAGCATGGGGGAAAAAAAAGAAGCCATTCTCTCTCAAACTGCAGGGCATGAGAGGCCATCTTCATGGGGCATGAGCAGCAGGCAGCAACCCAGCCAAAAGAGACTGAGGAAGCCCTAAGCAGTGGTCATGCTCAGGCCTAAGCATGCTCATGCACTGCTTACCTCCACAGCAGAGGAAGGTAAAATAACTTCAGGTACCATTATCAATCTGTCCCAGGAGAAAATTCCTTCCTGACCTCAATGCTGGTGACCAGCTATTCTCTGAGCACTTGAATGAGACCTTTCATCTCCCATTCACCTAGGGTGGCAAACCACTCAGGAGATGTCCAAGACAGATTCTGACTCAACATCTCAGAGGCTTGTGAGAGTAGCCACATGCCTTGGAGGTAACATTCCTTTCTGTGTCTGGCAGGACACCAGTGGGTGCTCCAAAGCACTGGAATCCCTTGCGACATCTCTGCACCCTATATCTTACAGCTGCTGCCCCATCTCTGCAGGGCATGGGAACAGAGAGCTCTGCAGTGGTCCTCCTGAAGGGATCCTCTTGGTCTTGCCAGTGCTCTCCAGGAGATAAGGGCATGAGATCCCTGGGCAGCTCCTCATATTCTAGATCTTTGCATCGCCAGCATCCCTGCTCAGCCATCTCCCCTTCCCTTCCCTTCCCTTCCCTTCCCTTCCCTTCCCTTCCCTTCCCTTCCCTTCCCTTCCCTTCCCTTCCCTTCCCTTCCCTTCCCTTCCCTTCCCTTCCCTTCCCTTCCCTTCCCTTCCCTTCCCTTCCCTTCCCTTCCCTTCCCTTCCCTTCCCTTCCCTTCCCTTCCCTTCCCTTCCCGCCTCTAGCTCCGGTGTCCACGCTCCTTTTCTGTGCCTCCCTGGCAGCCTTCCGAGGAGCGAGGGTGCCGTGCCTGACGTCGAGAAAGCAGAGCAGAAGGTGGCAGGAGGTGGGCAGGGAGGAGAACTGGGTGCAGGCGGAGGCCATAGTTCTGATAAACCAGCTGTCCCTGCTGCCCGCTCGCCCGCAGCTGCAGCGGGATTTGTCGCAGGAGAAGATGCCGCGGATATGGTCTGGCGGCTCCAGAGGCCCATGGCCGTCCCCCAACGCCCAAAAGCAGGCAGTTGCCATGCACAGGGGGATGTGAGGGGAGAGGGAAAAGACACCAGGAGAAGAGGGACAAAGAAACCCTCAGAGACTGTGTTAAACAAACAAACAAACAACTAACTATTTATTTCCTTCTTCTACGATCAAGGGATCTTGGCTTGCGCCGCCGCCGGCGGGACGGCCTCTTGGGGAGCTGGGGAGGGTCCTGAGGGCCAGAGGCCCTCCTCTTTGCTGGGCGCCGGGGCCCCGCGGGCGAGCCGTCCCTGTCGGGGCCAGGAGCGGAGGGGCTGCAGGCCCTGGCAGAGGGGCCGGGCACTGCTGCTGCCGCGCTGCCGGGCTCCTCCGGGGGCTGCTCCCGCTCCGCAGGGACGGGCGCGGAGGGAGAGCGCCCGGGGGCCCCGCGGAGCTCGGCTGCCGACGTTCCAACGCCCGCCTCCGCCTTGGAGACTGCGGAGCTGCAGGAGGAGGCCGGGCTGGGAGTGGGAGTCCCCTGGGGGGATGCAGAGGGCTCAGGGATGGCTCTGGGACCTTCCTCCTCCTCCTGCTCCTCCTCCTCCTCCTCCTCCTCAGCCTGGGGGTTGAGGAGGTTTATCTGCCGCAGGACCTCATCACTGCACCTGTCAGCGGCAGCGTTGATGAGCCGCTGCACAAATGCCGCCGTCCGCCCCTGCAGCAGAGGGTTCAGCTCCCGGACCAAGGCCTCCTCACTCAGCCCATAGCGGCACAAACTGGCTACAACGATACTCTGTGCCAGAGCCACCTCCCACCAGCGGGTGCTGAGCAGCTCTGCTAGCTCCTGGTTCAGCCAGGGCAGCAGGGGCTCGAGGATTTCTGAGCGGTCCTGGAAAAAATTTGCCCAGAGCTGAGGTGGGAAGCCAGCTACGTAAGCCCTGGGCATTGGCTCCGCAGCCTCCTGCTCATCCTCCTGGTGAGCAGCCGGTGACTCTGAGGGCCTTGGAAAAACTATCTCAAGAAAGTCTTCGTCGGACCGAACAGAGTAAATGATGCTGCTGATAGCCTGCCTGCACAGCGGGCACGATGGTTGCCTCTTGGCCCAACGCACAATGCAGCCCAGGCAGAACAGGTGGACGCAGGGTGTTACAG